TAACTTCTGAATAACGACTTATCATTGTTTAAAAGCTCATTAGATTTTAATACATAAGCATTTCTCAAAATAAAAAATCTTTTATATAACGTTTGCGTAAATCAATATACAGAGGACATTCTAACAAAAAGTGAAATTCGTCCTCTAATGTTTTACAGATTAAACATTTACGGTCTGAATATGGGATTTTTAAAGGTTTATGCCACCTTCCTGTTTCGACTTCTAATCTGTGAGCCGAAACTCTTAGCCTTGATAATGCAATTCTTAATTGCGTTTTTTAAATAATATCCAAATATGCCTGCAATTTACATGTTTCATATAAATTATATGTTCTTGCTCTAGATGACCCTTGTTATTGACTAATCCAATTTTGAATGAAACCATCAGTAAGTCTGCTTTTAAAATATTTCAAAAATAAAGTTTTATTTCCTACTCCCTGAAACAACCATACATAACTAAAACCTAAATGATCTAACAATTCTTTAACTGATTTAGCCCAGGAATTCTTTTGAGGATGCATACCTAAATCATTCCACATTTAGCCATATACCTTTTTAATATACGTATTTTCATCACTTTCATTAATTTTAAACAAATAACGTACAACACTTACTAACTGCTTATAAAATAAAATTGTTCGGCCCAAATTAGTTTGTGTTTGGGGCCTTACTCCTAATAAATGTTTGCAAAATTGTAAGTGAACTCGTTCTATTTTTTCTGAATAATAGAAACCCCACACCTCACTACAATAACTTAAAACGGGTAAAATAAATTTAAACAATGACTTAACGTTAGACAAGGGAACTTCACAAAATACGATTCTAATTTGAATATACCTTTTAAAGCTTGACCACTTAATGCATCAAATGTTGATAGAAAAGAACCGCCAGTACTAAATACAATACCTGAATACGAAAAAGAATTAACTACCTCAATAGCAGAATTTTGATATATTAATTCTAAGTTTTGTCTTTTCTAAAAATCATAATATTTAGTTGATAGTGGCATAAAGCCTTTGTATATACAACGGCGTTTTAGATGATACCATTAATGAAAACTATCGCCAAAGCTTTTTTGTACATGCTGTTCGTTATTAAAATGGAGTCCTGCAAAAAACACAAAGTGCATAGCATTATGGATAAAACATTTTTTGCCACAGAGAGAAACATGAACAGTTTATTTTTATTTAAAATATATAAGGCCGAGGTTGACTAAAAGTTTGCATTTAGCGAGATTCAGCTGTGGAACAACTCAAGAAATTGAACTAATGGCACTATGACCTGTTATTAACTGCGTAATCCGAGAGTTTATGAGATGTCAGGTAATTAAGATCGAATTGATCTGAAACTGGAAGATGTGGCAGCCAAATATTGTATGACATGTACTGGAAAAATGCTGAGAAAAGTTTTTGAATAAAAGAAACCCAGAAAATAAGCAAGTACTAGAGGTTACTGAAATACTCTGTCAAACGAGTGATGTGTAACTATCGATAAGCAGTTATAGATAGCGTTTTTATGTTAACATTTCCATAGATTATGTTAAAAACTGTTTCATGTTAAATAATATACAATGTACATGTAAGTTACATAAATATTTTTAAAAAGTCTTCAATCAACAACAACATTTAAAAAAAAACTTTCAACGGAATATTATTCTGTTGCTTAAGTTTCTGTGCAGAACTTACCGATCAATTAAAAAAAAATATAAGAAACATAAATCTGACCAAAAGATAGGCATGTTGTTATGAAAGCAAACTATGCACAATAAAACATATACATTTCAATGTTGGAATGTAGAGGGTAGGAGGGTAGCAAGACACTTTACCCCCCAGACACTTCACTCCTCAAATTTTGAAGACATTTCACCCCCCGCCCCCCACCAAAAAAAAAAAAATCAGTAAGACACTTCACCCATCAACCAATTTTTTTCTATAAAGTCAATAAGCCAGCAAAATAATGCTTTTATATGCTTATTTTAATTGTTTTTAGTATTATTTGAATAATATATTTTTAATTATAGGACAATTTACAGACTTTAGAGTAGATATTTGTTTAGTAAATAATTCAGAATTAAATAAAATATAAAAATATATTTAACTCATATACATATAATATGCAATAAAACCTTACATTTTGTTGGTTAAAAAAACAACACATTTTTATAAACATCAATAAATTCACCCACTTTCTCCAAGAATTCCTCAGTCCTTAATTCATAATGATCATATTGCCCACTGTTATACAAAGCACTTTCATCCAGTAAGTGTTTATTGCATGTCACGTGTATGCAACATGTTGATTGGTTGTTTATTCAATAGTTATCTCAAAATTGATTAGATAATTGGATTAAAAAGGTATTATTGTATAAAAATTAAATAAATAAATAAATAATATTGTATGAAAAATAAATTAATAAATGATATTATATGAAAAAGAATGATAAAAATTGAATATACAAGAATATGAATAAACAAACGAACAAGAGATGGAATGAATGAAATAAAATATACATCAATTATTCATCCACTAACTATAATGATTAAGAAAAGAACAATTACCTTACTTACAAAATAAAAATAAATAAGTATATACAAAATGTTGCTAACATATTAAGTAAACTTACTGGTATCACATGATATGTGTTGCCAGTTCCATTTGTATTCATGTTTTGCTTTCAATTCATTAAACAATTTATTGTCAATTAAAGACACAAAGGAAGTGTGAAAGATATTATATACTTAATATATATATATATCAAAGGAAAATTCACACAAGGGTTCACACACTTCAATAGAAAGATTATTCAATTAGTTATATAACCTTCCTTTTAATTGAAATTATTATAAACTATATAAAACTTAGATAAAAAATATAAAAATATTACTTACTAATAACTTTGTGATAATAGCCTTTTATTGAAGGGCAAAAACAACAATATATCCATTGTTAAACAAATATCTTGAAATGGCTGATCAGATGAATTTAGAAATGCACCTTCTATGTGATTTTTATATGCAATATAGCTCAGAAGAAGGGTTTTTAAACAAAAAATGAGCATCACTTTTACTGAAATACAATCTTATACAAATCATTAAAGGGAGTCCACTTGATGGGACTGAGCATATTTTTTTTCAGATAAATGTACCATTTGATGTAGGTTTTGACCACTAATCTTTGTGCAAAATTTCAGATCATTCGCGCATTTCAATTTATTTCAAAGTATATTTCTTAACTATCTTTGTATATATTTCTCTTTAAAGTTCATTTAAGTAAGAAATTCAAATGTTATGTTTTTAGGCTTTAAAACCTCAATGGAGTCCATGTAATAAACCTATAAGAGTGACAAAAAAACTGTTCATCAATAATTGATCACATTTACACAAATGATCTTGATACAATTAATGAAAACTTCGTATCACAAATTTGTGTCAGTGACCATTATTTAATATGTTTCAGTAGAGGAAATACTAGCACACATGCAGGTAATCACAAAACTATAAAATATAGGAGTTTTGCTAAATTTGATACAGAATCGTTTCAACGTGAACTAATTGATTCTAATTTTGATTGTATAGAGACATTTAATTATCCAAATGAAGCTAAAGAATTGTTTTATAACATGATAAATAATATTCTAGTGAAGCATGCACCATTTAAAATTAAACGTATAAAAAGGGACACACAGCCACACTGGTACGATGAAGAAATTAAAAATGCACCCGTGAAAAGAGATCATTATAAAAAATCTAATCAGTGGGATTCATATAACCTGTGGCGGGATAAAACAAATAATTTAATTTAAACAACACCAAAGAAATTACTTCAATAATGCCGTCAAGGATAAAAAAGACCCGAGTACGCTTTGGAAAATTAAAGATATGACTAACAATAATGATACTAACGGGAATATCAGATTGCCCAATTCCATAACAATAGATGGTAATATAATAACTGGGGAAATATATTTTAAATGCAAAAATGATCATTTTATCAATATTTCTTATTTCCTAAACAAATCCAAATTCAAAACGGAAAATTTCAAATCACTTGGTGAACAACTTAACAAAAAACTTCAAGGGCATACTTTTATTATTGATGAAATCAGCTCATTCCAAGTAAAACTTCTTATTGATAAACTGAATGTAAACAAGTCAACAGGAAATGATAAAATTGGGCCGCGTATTCTTAAAGCCTGTGGTGACTATATAAGCAAAGCTATAGTTTCTATAATAAATAGTTCCATTAAAATGGCATTTTTTTCTGATAAACTTAAAGAAGCATATGTACTTCCAATTTACTAAAATGGACCAAAAGAAGATCCAAATAATTATAGATCTATTTCAATTTTGCCAACCATATCGAAAATTTTTGAAAAGCATATTGCATCACAATTACAAAGTTATATATACGAAACAAATATCATTCATGAAAGTCAGTCGTGTTTCAGAAAAAAATCATTCTTGTCAAACAGCTCTAGTACGACTCATAGAATCCTTCCTTTATGATTTAGATGAGTGTTGTTTGATAGGCACAGTATTTTTAGACCTAAAGAAGGCATTTGATTTGGTAGATCACAACATATTGTTGCATTAGTTAAAAATGTTCAAATTTTCAAACACCTCAATTAAATTCTTCAAATCATATCTTGAAAATAGAACACAATTTATCAAATATGGAATAGTCATTTAAATAGTGAAACAGTTTAATCAGGGTCACTCAAGGGTCTATAATAGGCCCTTTACTTTTCATTTTCTATGTTAATGATAAGCCATTTAGTACAACACACTCTAACATAGACATAGAAATCTCTCTCTCTCTCTCTCTCTCTCTCTCTCTCTCTCTCTCTCTCTCTCTCTCTCTCCCTCCCTCTCTCTCTCTCTCTCTCTCTCTCTCTCTCTCTCTCTCTCTCTCTCTCTCTCTCTCTCTCTCTCTCTCTCTCTCTCTCTCATAGGGAGTACTCCCTAAAACTTGAAATTTTTATCAACAAATCGCTCAATTACATGGAAAATAAACAACTGACTATTGAAAGTAATTTTCTAAAATGCTTTAAAAGGGGACAAAAATTATCGATATCAAATCGCCATCTTACAATTAACATCATTGAAACATAGTGTGTTTTAAAATCAGGTTAAAACCGTACATATCATCTGTTAATGAAAAATGAGGCGTCATTCGCGATATTGTTGTTTTTACTTCATACTTTTTAGTTTTAACTTTTTTTTGATAAGAAAGTTTGCATTAGAACACAATTTCGGACATAATTTCATGGATGTGGATCTTAATCAATCTACTTTGATAAAAAAAGACATAACTGAACAAAAATTAAAACGGTTATATTTTGAGCAAAATGTGTTTGATGTGTCAACTGGAGATCAACACGAAGCCCAATCTAAAAAAATTATCATGTTTTACAATCTACCACAATATATGAACAATTTTCTTAAGACCAATCTTTATTATAAAAATTGCGATTATAAAAATTGTATGTTTACAAAAGATGCCGAATACGTCAATTCTGCAGATGCGCTTATATTTTATATTGGTATACGAAACAAAAGAATGGGAGTAAAACCACCTTTAACAGAGCAACAAAGAAATCCTAATCAAATTTGGATTTTTACATCAAATGAACCACCAGAACATTATTACAATACAGACTATTTGCTATCATCATGGAAAAATACATTCAATTGGTCTATGCTATATAGACTAGATTCAGACATACCAAATCCCTACGGTTGTTTATTGCTTCAGACATATGAGAGCAAGCAAAATTATGATTTAATCTACCAGTCCAAAGATAAAAATGCTCTTTGGATAGTCAGTCATTGTCATGTTTCGAGTGAAAGAAGATTATACGTGAACGATATGATAAATTATGGATTTGACGTAGATATATATGGCGGTTGTAGCTCTGACGGCTTAAAGATAAGCAAAAATGAACTTGAATTATTAATCCCAAGATATAAGTTCTTCCTAGCATTTGAAAATTCTATTTGCAAAGATTATATCTCAGAAAAATTCTTTCAGAATTATAACCACAGTTGGATTATTCTTGTAAGAGGGGGTGCAGACTATCATAAATTGCTACCAAAAGAAACGTTTATTAACACAGCTGACTTTTTAAACGTGTCAAGTCTTGTACAATACCTTATTAAAGTATCCAATGATAGAGAGATATATGAGAGTTATTTAAGAAAGAAAGATCGTTTTATAAGTTTACGATGGCCAAGAAACAGGAATTGTGAAATATGTCGTAGACTTAACAACCTAAATAGATTTAAAAAAACATACGACAATGTAGGACAATTTCTTAATCTTGAGCAATGTAGACGAGCTGCGGATCTGAAATTTATTAAATAATGCATCATACATAAATATGTTTGTTAAATGGATATTTATAAGACACAAGGTATAACGTAATTTTTTTAAAGAGGACATAGCAATTGATTGTGTTAATGAGTGCTGCTTAATTCTAGATATTTGACTTAATTCTAAGTATGAACATTTATGTGAACATTTTGCAATCGCTTTTATGTTGCATTAATCCGTCAAATGAGAGAACAATTATTTTGGTATTGTGGGTTTTATCCTTGAAACAAAAGCTGCGTTTAGGATTATGGTTATTCATTTCTAAAACTGGTAATTTATGATATAACGACCCAGTCTCGCTTGTATAAACAACAAATGCACCCTGTTAATTTATTATGTTATGGCCCAACGTCCCTGTAGATACAAATCTATCTTGTAAATATAAAATATGTTCAACAAGATGTGTTTGCAAATAAATTATGAAAACTTAGTACCAGGGAGAGTTATATTTATTTTTTATCTTAAGATCTTTTATTATTTTGAAATTAAACATGCATTATTTTATAATATAAGAGACTATCATAGTCCCTTAATTGTGCAAAAACTAGAAAAGATTAAAATGAAAATTGTTGTATTCCTAACGATATTAATATATGATATTTTTGTTTTGTCATTTTGAGTATTGATTTAATATACATAACAATCGGCAAAAATCATCACCTATAACTTGAAATGATATCTTGATATTAACGTATGCCTAACAAACTATAATAACTACGAATGCCATTATCATATGATCCAAAGATTGCAGTGGATACATTGTTAATATGACCTGAATGAAATTGGGCAAATCTGATATTGATATGCATCGTTTTTTGTTTTTGTTTTTTGTTTTTTTTTTGTAAAAAAGGGTAAAAAAGGTTTGAAACTGTTCACTTTAGCTTAAGCTAATGATATTTATGAATGAGTAATGCAAATTTGAAAAAGGCTTATTGCAAAACAATTTCAAAGTAAGGTTTAAAAATCTTTTTATCAAACTTTATTGATAAATGTGATATTTATTTGAAATGAAAAAAACACAACAATTATCCTTAAGCTCCTGAAGAAATAGAGAGAATTCCTAAAGAAAGCCCATCACAGCAAAATTGAAAATGTTGCAGGCTCGGTTTGATTGAACCTGTTCATGGACGGTACTGTCAAGGGCAAGCTACCATCCACGCCCCCTAGCACCGGCCATAGCACAATTCAACATTTAACATGAACTATTACAATCTAAAATTTTGAAACATCTGCAGATGTGTTCATAAGGCGGTTATCATGGTTATCAAAGTTTGCATTTCCAGTGCTGGAATGTGTATCATTGTCATATCAAATTATTTAATTATCGCAACCTTTACTTTCCATCCGCAGCTCACTCACTGAATACTCTCACGTCACTTCAGACCGCTGCTTTGACGATCGCAAATTTATGATATTCGCCTGTACAGTTAACTTTGAACGACCAATGAAAGTTAACCAAATTCCTTTTTACACAAAAGTCCATATTCGCATTTTCATTGGTTGAAGCAGAAGCAAAATTTATTAATCGACGTGTATTTCCTTGCAAGATTGTAAACAAAATAACGTCTCTCAGGGATGTCTGCTGAATTTTTGTGTAAAAGAAAGATAAGGATACATTTGGTTAAACAAGGTCATTGAAATTGTTATATTGATAAAAATAGTAGAAGGCATAACGGAAGTATCTGTGTTTTCAATAAATACCCTTAAATTCAACCACATTTAAATATTTTTGTAGCGGTAATGAATTGTAGGCTGCTGTGTGGCTATGGTTGTTGATAGAATTCTTTCTAACTGTTATTTTATATCCAGTAGACATTGTTTTAAAGAATTTAAGAGATATCAAACAATGTATTTAATGATGGCTACTTCATTTGATATTTTGAATACCCTCATGACGAGAAACATAGATAGATATACAGATACATAGCTACTAAAATACTAAGAAATACAGTTTAAAATACAGATTGAAATACAGATATACATTATACAAACACTTATACATTTGTATATAAAAGTTATTAAAACACATATTTTGATAAAATATTTCGGCAGGTTGCAAACATAACTATCATAAGGGGCTCATAAAATTATTATTATTATAATTATTATTATTATTATTATAACTAATGATGATAATTATAATAATAATAATAAGAATATAAATAATAACAATAATAATAATAATAATAATAACAATAATAATAATAATAATAATAATTATAATAATTATAATAATAATAATAAAAATACTAATAATGATAATAATAATATATTAAACAAAACTTTCCAAATATCTATAATGTGACTTATTAAGTGAAAGTTTGTATAAAGTAGTGTGTAATGACTTCGGATAGCCGTTGATAGCCCAAGGGCTAATTTCCAATAGGTCCTAGGATATCCTACTTGAATATACAATGAATAACAAAATACGTGAAAAACTTTGGAAACTGGAAGATGTCATATAGATAAGATGTTTATGTTAAGTTCAATATTTTCTTTAATTTTAATAACAGGATAACAATAAAAGATGAAATACGATATCTAATCATATTAGTGAAGTTAATTATGATTTCTTAACTGTTCTACTAAATGGGCTTTTCCTGTGTTTTGTTATTCTCTATTTTAGTAATATTTTAATGCCTGTTGACAATTCCAATCATTAATTGCTTTTTGAAAAAAGTAGCACTCTTCCTCACCTATGAAGTTTCATGTTGATATCTCAAAGGTTTTTTAGTTATGCTCTTTACAAAACTTAAGCATGAAAAATAACAAAGAGCAATAACTGAAAAGAATATGCAGGGTAGAGTTATCATTTTGTGTGCTGTACTCTTCTTTAATGAGATCTATCAACCTATGAAGTTTCATTTTGATATCTCAAAGGTTTTTTTGTAATGCTCTGGACAAAAATTAAGCATGAAAAATAACAAAGGGCAATAACTGAAAAAATTGAAAGGTAAAGTTATCATTCTTATGCACTGCACATTTCCTGAGTGAGATCTATCCACCTATGAAGTTTCATTTTGATATCTCAAATGCTTTTGAGTTATACTCTGGACAATAATTAAGTTTTAAAACTACAAAGGGCAATTACTCAAAAACATGTTTGCATTTGTGAAAATTGCTATGCCAACGCATTAATACAACACAAAATAGTAGTGTAGGAACAAATTTTGTTTTGTTTCTATACAAATGAAGATTGTTATAATGCATAGATCCCTGACCTATCTAATTCTTATTATCAGATTGCCGGTAGTAGTTAAATCTATCGTTATTCAAATAAAAGATCAGAGTAGGAATATATAAATACAGTTGAGTCTAGTGAATTTGGTGGTGAAGGTCATATTTCACTTGTTAATTGATAAATAGATTATTTGCATACTTTTTGCAGACAAAAGAACGTTTCGACAAGACCTTCAAAAAGGTTGAACAGACATTGACCTTGAGCTTTAGCTGGTCTTGACTAACATGGGCGATTTATTGAATTTGGTTAATTTGTCATAATTTGTAATTTATATAAGGATTTGATTTAAACTTGAACAAAACAAGACTTGCTACCAAATAAACATATTAAATAATTTAGATGTGACCTTGATCTTAAATTGACCTTGTCTGTTAAGGTCAAATGAATGAAATTCTCTTGTTGTTATTTTCTTAAACTGCCTATATATTAAAAATGGATTACCTTCATATTAAGACGAAACATCTTTTAGGTATGGACCTTCATGAATATCAAACTGAAATTGACCTTGACACATGTATGACCTTAATTTTATTTTATTCAAATTTCACTAATTGGCTGTGACTTTAAATAAGATGATTTTTATACTTCGACAAAACAACCATTTGGTTTGGACAAGAGATCCTAAAAGATGGAATTGATCTTGAATTTTAAATAACATTGACGGTCAAGGTCAAACGATTGTGTTTTGGTTAAATTGTCTCAATTTGTACATAATGTATGGATTTGATTCATATGTTGACCAAAAGACACTGGTGACTTTGGAATGATTTTAAAATGGCCTCGATCTTCAAACGTCTTGGACCCTCAAAATACAAATAATCGAATTTTGATTATGTTTTCTTAAAACTTAACTTTTTTTCTTTATTTGTTTTTTAAATATTTGCTAAAATTGATTATATGTTTGCTTTAAAAAAAAAGTTAAAAAATCATCGATGGCTCTTGTTTTAAGTTACACTAAAAGGGTCATGTAGAGAATTGCAAGCTTATCAGGTCGTAAGATATCTGGGCTACGTTTCATGGAGAGTCCTAAGTCTTAAGTTTGTCTTAAGATAAAAATTGTGACAATTTTGCGTTTCAAAGAAAGTCTTAAAAAAGGTCCTAACTTATGACTCCTATATTTATGACAAAAAACAGGCCTAAGTCTAGGAGTGTTTTAAAGGTATCTTAAGATTGTCCTAAGTCAAACCACTCCAAAATCAACTAATTTTTTGTTGAATTTTGTTTTGAAAACTATCTAGAATGATGGATAATGGTCTAACTAAGAAAATAAATCCGAACACCAATATCTTTGATTAAGTCATTAACGCTGTACAGACGTTTAAAGAGTTGTTTTCATGACGTCACAATGTAGCGCCAAATATCGCGTGCAAATCAAGACGCATCTATAAATATATTACTGCGCGCTGTGCAAGCAAGGGGATTCGTTACCATTTTTTTTACTATGAAATTAAATAAAACGGATATTTTATCGTTTTCTGGAAATATGGTATATATTTTCACTCAACAAGATAAGAGGGCAATACATAACTTTTGATACATGCTATAATCAACTACATAGTAAATCCAATCCGGGATTATGCACGTGCCATTGTATTTTGTAACTTTTTTTCAGGAGAGCGAATTGGTCATAAGTCTTAAGTTTAAGACAAAAGATAGGACAGTTACTTGAAACGGTCTAAAGTGCAAAAACTTTTTCTCCTAAAGTTGGTCATAAGTCCTAGGATTTAGGATTAACTTAGGACTCTCCATGAAACGCAACTCAGGTGCCCTTTAATGCATGATTCCATGCACAACCTGGCACCTGAGTAGAACAACGGACCTCTAAACTAGCTGGTTATCTTTTCATATGAAACAATTTAAAGTCACTAATAGGATTTGAATCTGCAGTGGTTTGGGGC